GTTAGAGAGATGAGTGGACGCATTTGAATTAGTAGTATACCAAGGTATCCAGTGATGTAATTTTAGCCACAAACGGACTTGAAGTTTTTGAGCTAATTTTTTTTAAACCACTTTTGTCCAAAAAAGCATATTTTTGACCCAAAATCAAAAACGTATTCTGGATATTTAAAATAAAGACAAGTTTTACAAAGTTTGTATAATAAGCTTTCAGAAAATATATAACATGCTGGATATATAATACCATCTTCATTGTCTAATTACTCAATTAAAAAGCAAGCCAAATAAACTGCATCTCTACCTTAAAATGTAATCAACCGTTTTATTCATTTTATTTTATTCTTTCTATGTTGAATTTCAGTGTATTTTAATTTTATTGTGTCTTATTTTATTTGTCTTTTGTATTCATTTTTTTTAACCTTACTAAACCCACAGATGGTTAAAAGTTGTATAATAAAGTTATTATTATTATTAATTATTCATCCATGATTTGTACAAAGATCGTATATTTTGTAAGTGTATAAAGCATTTTCCACATTAAGCTTCCAATATAGATTCTTAAACACAAAATATCAAATATATCTTTAAGTGTAAAAATCAAATTTTTTACTGTAAATGGTAACTTCCTGTAAAAACTTAAGATGCCTTTTTTATTTCCTGTACCAGTCACCCACCCCCTGTCCCCACTCTTACAGCATGCGGTAAATTTTTTATTGTACACGCAGTTTACGGTAAACCTGGTTTATACCTCTTGTCGAAAACACAGAGTTTGGTCAATTTCGTGCACAGTATAGCGTACGGTATATTACGTTTCGTCCACATATTTCAAAGCTTAAGGTTGACGCCGCGACACATATTCAGCTGTGATTGACACTCTATTGTACAACTACAACAAAGAGGGAAACATACAATGTCCTTAATTCAGTTCAACCACGGTCACTATTTTTTTAGTAACCGTGGTTCAACCCAAGCAAGGCACGTTTTTTTTTCAAATAAACATGACATACCAAATATGATGAACTTGCGTAATTCAGAAAAAAAAGTTTTTCATTTGTTCCGGCTTGGAGCCTGATGGTAAGGGAAAACATTTACATAACCAGGGCGAGTTGCGTCGAGAGACAAAGCATTTGTTGTTTCTGTTTGGAGCTGTAACAGGTAACAAAAGGTCTTGAATAAATTAATGGCGTAGTACAGTAGATTATTTACAAGCTGATCCCAGACCAATTTGTAACGGCCGGGCTCGTAACACGGACCACATGATCCCCGAGCAGGATGTGAGTCTGGTATGTGAGCTACTATAAAATCGCGATGCGACGGGTATGACCTCTATTCGCACACTTCCGGTGCACTAGTGTAACCTGCCGTTAACAATGAAACTGAATGACGTTCCAACTTTTATTAAATATAGGTAGTAATAAAGAGAGTATCAAAACGCCTTGGAAGCGACACATCGAAAGGTCAAGTTTAGTTCATCGCCCGCTGTACGAATTCACGTTTGCGAATGAATGACCACTTGACGCGATGGAGAGATCCCAAGCCCAGTTGGCGAGCTACATACCAGTAGTTTTCTGTATACACGCCCCGTGATCGATCTTTTCCAAACTTGTGTGCTATCGGCGTTTTTTTTTTTTTTTTTAAATCAGTGTATGACGTTGCTTTTAGTTTGAACAATTTAACTTGCCGACATGATAACACCTTCTTTTCAGAACTATTACAGAGTTATGACATTGTCTTTGGTGTGGACGATTGAACTTGCCGACATGTTAATGTTTTTTTTTCAGAACTATTACAGAGTGCGGGTGTCTGTCTATTTACTATACATGTTTTAATTTTCGTTTTAGTTGACTTGTACTTATTTTTAATAAAAATATTTTCTAAAAGGGCGGTTTGTTTACTATACATGTTGACAGTGGGCGCAAACAAGATTCAAGTCTTACTGAACGTTGCAATATAGCGAGACTTTCTTAGCGGCACTGTTTTGAAAACGATTTGCTACATTTTGCGACAATTTCACTTTTCCTTGCAACACTCGATTATCGACAAATTGTTTTGTCTCGATACGTATTATGGCTGAGTGGTTGTCTGTTTTCACATGGTAACATTATTTTGACTACACAATCACGAAGCTCTTGGATGCTAGCCCTGCATACAGTGCTGTGTGTACGGGAGCGCGTTTAGTTGGACGACCCCACCACAGCCCGGCGTACCTCCATAGACTGTACGTAGGACTACCTAGATCCATGATACAATACAATATAGCACAACAATGAGAAACGATGCTTTTTTTACATGAGGTAAATAATTTCCGCGTAACTACGGGAGTCTCGCCACACTTGCACAAACTTGTCCTGTCCTTGTCCTTCGACAATGTCGGCACATTCGTAGGACTGTCACCCCCATGGATCGAATGGTATTGTCCTATTGTTAAACGCTAACCAAAATTAGTAAACAACATGGCGGACTCGACTCGCCGAAATGCCCGGGCGTCGATCATAAAAAGTGTGGATAGTTGCTCGAATTCACCACTCCGGTTCAAATTTTGAGCATAAACGAATATTATACAGTACAAGGATTGCTGCCGCTGCCCCGCGCGTTAGGTATTCCCACCTGTTCGCTTCCGCGCGTGCCCGGACACTCCCTCGCGTGTCCGCGCGTTAAGTAGTAGGACTCGTCCACAAAGCTATATATTTTCGGAAAGCTTATTGTATGAATTTTAAAATTTTGTTAGTATTTTTTTTCATGGACACTGTAGTTTGAAATATTCACAAAGATGTGCTTTTTTGGTCAAAAGTGATTTAAAAAAAATTAGCTTCTAAACCATGCTTCTGTTTCCTGTCAAAATTGGTTTATGGGTACATCTGTTTACTATGAAGAAAGAGCCGTCTTGAAAACTGTCTACCAGTTGTCAATTTCGCAGGGCAGCAACTCAAATTTCACTACTTCAAGTTTATGCATAAATTAACACCCAGGCTAGTCTTTATGATTGCTGTAACACTGTTCAACCAAAAACAATGCCCCGACGGCGTTTTGAAGATAAACACAGTGTCATTCATTTGTGAACATTTCAAAATAAAAGGTCAAAGCGTCTAGGAGCTATTTTTTTTTAAAGTTCTGGGACGTGCACTAAAAAGAAGCTGAGATAATTGCTAATTTGCATAACAATTCACTCAGTAAGAAGTTTGCTAATGCTCATAATTAGAATGGCTGTAACAGTTCCAAATTTAAATGTATTATTGTTTAGTAAAAAGTTAAATATAGTGCATAATATGGAGATCCCGTCATTTCTTTTTTTTCACCTTGTTTCTTTTTTTTTTTTTTTTTATGTACAGCCTTGCTAAATCTTGCTAAGCATTCAAAAGAGAGAATGTTTGCACCTGTTATCTATATTTTAAAATCGTTTTTTTGAGTATGTTCCACTATTCACAATTCTACAAAATGTTAACAGTCAATAGCCAAGACTGTTTGGATAATAAAAAGCAAAAAAAAAAAATCACTCCCAGGTGCCCACGAACCTGCATCTCTACCTTAAATGACAAATCACATGTCTCACGACTATGACTGAGATTGATTACTGTGCAACTGTAATTTGTTTGATTCATATCACAAAACTGAATTAAAATACATTTTTTGATAATCCAAACTTTGAACTTTGTTTTGCAGTGTTCCTATGGCGATACTTAAACGATCATAAAGATGAATAAAAGATCAGTGACCACCCCCTTTTTCTGATCTTCACATTACAATTACTGTAAAATATACATACACACCAAATTTGAAAAGATTATTCTTTCTAAATGTGTAAGTTGGATCAGTGCTTACCAATTAATCTTGGATCATTTAGATGGAAGAAGAATGTCGGTCGAGAGGTTTTGTCTTCTACATTTTGTGATTTATCTTCTGTCTCATTTGAGTGTTGCTTAGATACAGTCTCATCTATAGGATCATCTTCCTCAATCTCTTCATCAGTGCTGTCATAGCGAAATAATTTGGGTTGCCATGGTGATTTGGAGACAGATGAAGTGGTATATTCTGTTTCCATTTTATCTCCTGACAAAAAAAATTTAAATATATATAGTATACAGTGAAAATTAACACAATGACATTTTAAAATTGCATTAAAATTACTAAATTTTCTCTTTTTTTCGGGTTACTTTGTTGTTTTTATTCATTATTACCACACACAGAAAGAATATGTAAGAAAGGTACTTTTATCCAAAATGTCATTTGAACACTACAATGACACACTCTCTTTACAGATTTCAGTAATAAACCCAGGTCTGAAACTTTGAAAAACGGTTAATAAGATGTTGCTAAGCAACAAATAATGATTACAATTAAATTTCCTGATTTAGATTTGCTGCATATGGATTCATATTATACCTGTTTGCTGACCGTCGTCAGGTAAAAATGAAAACGAGAATGGTTTCTCAGCACTGAATCCATCTTTTATTTCTTCACTAACTTCAAAATATTTATCTTTTGTCACTTCTGGAGGATCTTCTTCATCTTTTTTCTTTTCACTTTTCTTGTCCTTCTTTCTGTTAAGAAAAACAAATTGAAATCAGTCTCCACAAATTGTTGAAATGTCTAATGTCTATAAGACTTTGGTAGATCATTGGTCGACCCACGGTAATACAAGTACTTGCATTACACAGCTCCTATGTGTTGATAAGTTTGAAATTCATTGCTAAACAAAATTTTCAAACATCCACTTTTATTGGAGTAATCTTCAAATAGTACAGTTTTATAGCATGGTTCAGTTACCGTGAAAGACATAAAGATCTCAAGTAATTGCAGATATCAGAAAATGCCTGTCATCATTTCAACTGCAGCTGAAAATTGTTCTCTATCATCTATGGTGAAAGAGTATTACTTATGCAGAGAAAATAGAAGACAGTCAGTCTGACTGAAGATTGTCTCTTGGAGGTTTTTCTTCACCAATCGGACAAAGTCTGCAGACGGGCACATTTAATTTTGTCCGTACATGTGTCTTTCTGGAGCTATTTGTCAATTTCTATCAAACTTAATACAAAGACATTACCGTATATGTAATCTTATACATTAGCCAATATTGTTTTTGATATGATTAATCGAATGTAAGATATGGATAGATTTTTATAGTTGAATGTTTTCACAACCAGTTCCTGGAAATGACCGGCTTTATTTTCATCAAACTTAGTATGGAGAAAATAATTTTTTTCAAGATCTGATTCAATGTTGCCATTTTGTTTTTCCACTATATATCTGTTTCTCTAGTATGCAATCCCAATTATGTTCAAAGTTGATATAAAGACAATATTCCATAAGATATATTTAGAGACGACGTCAAAAGATTGATGTCGGATAAAAAACTTAATTCCTTTATTTTTTTTCCAAACCCCCCACTGAAACTTAATTGATAAATATTGGT